TCTAAAACGGCTAAAATCATACTCCTTTAAGCCGGACGTAGCATCCAAGTTAACCTTGGACGCCGAATTGCCGAGGGCGCGACTAAATGAAGAAAACAAGAACAGTATGAGCAAGGAAGGTAAGAGTGAGATAAGACGTTTCGGTCCAACATCGCACGACAGGATCTCGTCAGTGTAACGGACGTAGTGTTTAATGGAAAAGGAAGAGAAAGGCGCAAGGGAAGAAAGGGAAGGGTTATGACTGTAGGAATAGCGGCAGTAAGAATGGAGTGAAGAAGGAACGGATAAAAAAGAGAAAAAATAAGATTTAAAAAGGAAAGCCTTTCCGTTTCCTCTTCCACAACGACAGCCAATTCTTCGCACCCGATGCAGCAGTTTCGCCTGATCAAAAAAGTGCGGTGCCCAATCAACCTGCGCCTCAGCCTGTCACCTGATTTCCCTCCGCCGCTGATCATATTTGCTTATCAGGGAACAACCCGAGTCGCAGAAACGAAATGATGCAATAGGATGCGAACTACGGCAACAACCAGGTCACAACGGAGCAATTTATCAGAATCCCAAAAAAATGCTGAACAACGACAAAATAAAAACGACACGGACTAGAGGAGCGGGCAACGTATCCGGAGCTGTTTCACTAGCCATTCCTCGCCAGGACGAATGCGAAGCGGCCACGGCAATCGAGGGACTCTGGCGCATCACCGTCTCGGTCATCATTAACCTGAAATTTCACGCGCATCAACTGAAAAAACTCCTGAACATTATTGAGGACGCAAAAAAAAAAACGAGCCGCCAGGTAAACCTTCCTCATCCCTGGTCTTTTGATGAGTATTCCTCATGGCAGCCGCCCAACGAATCGATCCTTAATTTTTTGCGTAAAACTAACCCAGAAACAACGCAAATTTTACTGACACAAAATATGGAAACTCAGTTCCTCGGCCTGACCAGAGAGAAACAGAAAAATAGCCTGCGAAAACAAGTGCTGCAGAAGCAGCGCCAGGAAAACCCAGGAACTCTTGCCAAAAGCCTGTGAAGAAGGGCATTTCCGTGCACGCACAAATGTATCACCTGCATCCCACTGCTCTTGCTTAATTTCTCGGATCTTCCCTTGCAATAAGCATTTCGCAGAGGAACCACTCTGATCCAGAAAGGTGGCGCCCTCCCCCCCTTCCCCTCTCTGACAACGGCGAAAGATGGCACTGAACCGGAACATTACGGCACGAAGACAGCACAAAGCCATCCGAACCGAGAAACCGCAAAAGACACACCACGTCATTGTAAATCCCACAGTACCTCCTACCGCGTTAGAGGCAATTACAACCTCGGTTCGACTCGGCCAGCTTGGGGAAGATGTTTGTGGGCTCTACCCTCACTTAGCGGGATGGCGGTGGAGGTGGGTTGAAAGAAGGGGGGTCAGGACACTGATTTCGATCTAAGAAAGTTGTAACGGAGGGAAAGAGATCGGGAGAATTATCGAACAGAAGCAGAAACCCCGCCTGGAAATGGGAAATGGAAGCAGGGAGGGGATTACAGGTAATATATGAATTTATGATGATTAAGGCCTCCCACAGACAAAAACCTTGAAATTTATGGGCGACCACGGGCCTAGTACCACTCACAATTACTAAACATCGGCTCAGCTCAGCCGGTATTCTGAAAGCGTTCTAGTTTCTCTGCCAACGCTATTTCGTGACGTTGCTTGCCAGCACCATGGCACTTTGCCAGTGGGACCTGCATCGCGTGGCTGTGGCAGTGGGTGTGCGGTTGGATGTGGTGGGATGGAGGAAACGGGCGGCGAGGGGGGAGGGTGCTGGTTGGTGGGCGATCAGATATGGCTCAAGGGGACAGGCCGGAGACAGGGTGGCTGACGAAGATGCTGGTCAGGAATTCGAAACGACAAATGGTGGCAGTGGTTGGGGGTGGTGAGTGATCAGTGCCCAGATGACGCTCTGGAAGCAGGATTTAGGGGTAGGATAGAGAAGGGGAGCGAGGATACTAGCCAGGCGTTCGAGGTAAAAACTGAAAACAGTCCCCTGCCCACATGCCACTCTGCAAATTTAAATTCAGCCTTAAGTTTTAGCGGGAAAAATCGTTATCTCAGGAATAACGAAAGCTAGGAAGCTGGAATTTCATGGATTATGTCCTCTGCCCGCGTGCGCCCAGAAAGTTTAAATTCAGCTCCCTAGTACCCTTGGATACCACGTATCGCCCGTGACAATTTTGGTGAAAAAATTATTACGGTCTCGTGAAAGTTTTGGCGGGAAATTATCCCGGGAACCATGCAAACTGGGGAGAGAAAATTTAACGAGAATGTTTCCTGCCCATGTGCAACTCGGCAAATTAAAAATCAGTTTCCAGTCAAGCCTGAGTCTTAATTACGCGTCTGTGAAAGTCCTGGCGGGGAAAATTACTACTTTGGAAGCCATAGAAGATAGGAGGCTGAAATTTTAGCGGAATTTCCTTTGCCCACATGCGACCTTGCAGAATCAAATACAGCATTCGTGTGCGCCTCGATCTCTTATGCGGCCCCGCGAAAGCTTTGGTAGGGAAAATTGGAATGTGTTGGGAACCAGAAGGGCTCTGAGGCTGGAATTTCAGGAGGATGTTTTTTGCCTGTGCAAATACCTCACGAACTCAAATTTAGCTCCCAGTTATGCCAATGTCTTGTGTACGATCATATCAGTTGATGTGAAAGTCACTAGCTGGGAACCTGGAAAACTGTGAGGTTGAAATCCAGGAGGGTGTTCCATGTCCAAGGTTTCAAATTCAGCTTTCACGTATCAGTGAGAAATTTGTCAGTTCAGGAGACAGCATACCGACTATTTTTTCACATACGAAAGTGTAAAACAGTTATATTTTTGGCAGACAAACGTCCGTTGGATGGAACTGCGCAAAACGCATGATCGCACCGGCTTCCGTAGTATGCGCTGCTATTTATTTTTGTGGTGCTTTGCTATTTCTTTCTCTTTAATGCTGTATCCATTTTTGTCTCGAGTCTCTGACTTGTGTCCTCGGTTTCCCTTCTCTACTCTATCCGCAAATCCTGCCTGCAAAGCAATTTCAGAGCTTTCAGAGCTCGATCCACACCGTAAGAGCACTCTGGAAGTAAGCAATATTTCAGCCCTTCCCCTACCTCAGGTATCCGGGGCAAAAGCCAGGAGCACATTCCTCTTCCTTCGCACCCCCATCCCCCTCTTCCATACGCGGTCTAGGCATCCGTCAAAGGATCTATGAAACGTAGCCACCCAGCCCCCTCCCCATGCCTCGAATTCCGCAACCAAAAAATGCGCTTATGCATTGCCAACCCCCC